CCCACTGTGAGGGTGGGGAAAAAGGCTGATATAATCTTAATCTATGTTGAACACCTGTAGTATCCCGAAATAAAACTCTACTGAGCTGCAACCTCGTTGCAGGCTTTGGGGTGTGAGCTCCCCCACTCCAAGGTATCAATACGTGGGTTTCTCAAAATTGGGCATACCTTTCTTCGGGGTCCCAGCAAGGAAGATTATAATACTTTGGGATCTCTATTGGGCCCCCTATTCCAGGAAACTACCATGGTCTCTTTTGTCTGCGGGAACACTGTGAAGACCTGACCCATTCGGGGTTTAGGGTTCAGAGCGTTAATTACGAGGCATTCTCCAATTTCCCTGACCTCCACAGCCGCAAAGCTTATCAAAAGCCTTGGGCAGTGTCCACAATGCAGGAATCTCGAAATTAGAGCATGACGGCTGGCTGATCCAACTGTTGTTCTATTCTACCTGCTCTTGGTGGATTCACAACCCTACCATTGAACCAACAGAACCATCCACACAGAAGCGCGGTCCCTCAGCTGCCGCCGGTACTGTCCAAGAACCTTCAAGAGTTTTCTGCAGGTTTTCCAATGCAAATAGTTGGATGTATTGCAAAAGGCTTCCACTCAGCATGGGGAAATTAGGCGGAGAGGTGTAATACATTCCGTGGCCTAATCTAGAGCGCACCCCAACCAATATAACAAAATGATTGAACCAGTACGTCCATCACGTCACCCAAGGAGGTCTGATTAGCCACTTGTAGGCCTTCAGCAAGTAACAGCTCAGGACAAACAATTTTGCAAGCAGCTGAACACTGCGCATGCGCGCATGACAAAAAAGTGCCCCTCGGTGAAATCTTCGGCACTTGCATGTGGTTGTTTCACATGTTATCGTTGTAGCAGTACTAGCGGCGCCTCAGCCGTGGTGCGAGAGATTACAAGCTCAGGCAAAGCAGCAATAGCAGCATGAGTCGCGGCAACATGAGTACCCTCCCGAAAGAAATCTGCAATCCCGCATGGCCACCATAAAGCGAGGGTAGTCCTTACATGCCCTTATTGCGGGGTTCGAACTTAAATGGAAACTGATATGACCGCAGCTACGACAACAGACTTCTTGGAGGGTTGAGAGAGATTTAATGAGTGCACATTAGCCCGTACTAGCAAAATAGTGGCCCAAGCCATCCCCATTCCCAGCCTCACAAAGCCCCCGTGACTGCCCAAATATCCTGACAGCTGCAACTCCAATCGGCGCAGCGGTACGCAAGGGTCCCCAAATGAAAACCATGATTCCTACTGTTAATGGACAGTCCGAAGGGCGCCATACTACCAGAATTCCTTCGATTTTCGGTAAACAGGAATATGCAAGGCTTTGATCAACAATAGTGGATTTGATATCGCTGAGTCCTCTAAGCACCGCTGTACAGTCCCTCTAAAACCATGATGCAACCTTACACCCTGTACCCCCTGCCCCGAGAGCCTGCGTTTTCTCGCCCTTCTGGCTGTGTAAGCGGAAGGTTATGGCTGCGTCTGGTGCCTGACGCTGTGATGCCACTGCCAACAATGCCCCAGTACGCGGCCATATTTTGGCCAGGGATTTTAGGGACTGAATAGCTTGGGCTTCGGAGCTTAATTAGGTCATAAGCTGGGTGTTCGAGGGTAGCTACCGCTGGACGTTTAATGAATATGTCAACCCCTCACTGCCCAAACCCTAAATCCCAAAGTCCCAAACCCTAAACGCCCTAACACCCTAGACCCGCAAAAACAAACCTCTAGCTCCACAAAGTCATAAACTTAAATCACTGCATTACCCTTAATCCTAAACCTCGACCCATTTCTCTAGGGACCCATGGCCCCTTGCCTTCTTCGTAAGGAACTGGAGGCCCCGGCGCCACCTCGGGATCCGGCCGCCGGATGCCCTGCGCCAGGATTTTTGCACCGAAAAACTATCAGGGGGTTGTCGGAACAATTGTCTTTTTCGAGTACCCTAAAGAGGCCCTAAATTTTACGGGCCTTATCATACTGGAGACGAAAGTGCCTGCCCGACTGTCGACAAGCTGGCAGATCTTGACTGGCACTTTGGGACTGGCGAGCAGCTGGGCAGGCCAGCAAGCTCAGAGACATCTTGGGGGTGGACCGTGCCTGCTGAGAGCCATTCATGAGTTGAAGCCAGAAACCCAAATCCTAAAGCGCCCATAATCTTAAGTCGGGAATACAACTTGACTCGAAAGCATAAACCGATGACACCTGTAAGTGCCCCTACTTGCCTGCAGGCTACGGCAAATACAAGGGTTACCAAGTGTTGGTCTCCAAGGCTCCTCGAATGAGGGATAACAAGTACAGCTTGTTTTTGACAACTTGTCTTGCCACGTGCATATGCAGGACGGCAGTGAACAGCAGAAAGCGACTCTCAAAATGTGGCGTTTATAAACGTACGAACATACTCCAGCTATACAAACGCATTGAATGCTTCCTAGCTTCCTGATCTCTATGTTCTCAACAGGAACTCAACTCCTGAAGGCCCGCCAAACAAGACCCTAAACCTCTGTAGCAGGATCTTTGCAAATCTACCCAAAACAAAACATGAATCCAATTATAGGATAAGTACGGGGTCCTTATTCTTGCGGGGTACATAGGATTCCCAAGCTCTTCCCTGAACCCTAAACCCCTAGACCGCAAACCTTGCCCAGCCTGTCTAGCAGGAACCTGGCTGCCACATCGTTGTCGGCCTGGTTTAGGGTTTAACTCTGCATGGCCGAAGCAGGAGGTTTAGGGTTTAGGGTTTATAGGTTATAGGGCTTAGGGTTCAGAGTTCATAGGGCTAAGGATTTCGGGTTAAGGGCAAGTACGAGAGGACGGGATGCTGAGGCCTCAAGGGTCGACCAACCCTAAAAACTGCTGCAGAGAAATTGCCGTAACAGTCTCTCCACCAGTCTGCGTTGGAAACTTGGCTGGGAACTGAAGAAAATAGCCCGTCAAGTCCTACAAGCTCTCTAACAGTAGCCTGAACTTATCCCGACTACTGTCGGGATGCAATCAACATTCTATACCGGCATGCTTCCTTCGTGAAACTGAAAAAGTTCAAGCTACCATACCGTCTCAGCTTGAAAAATGTTGATGCACTTCGCAATGCTTCACTGGATGGGGAGACCATTTCTAACACAGCTTGGATACCCTTTGCCCCTGGTGACTCTCATAAGGAACCAATGCTGCGAAAGTCAACACAACATTCTGGAGCAAGCACTATTATGGCAGGGCACCTTGGCAGACGTTGATTTTGATGCAGACAACGCTTTGAGGTTCAGGTTCGGGATCTGGGGTTCTTGATTATTAGCTTGGGGTCTAGAACCGAGGGCTTGCTAGGTAGGCATCTTACGAACCACTTGTGTTGCCTTGGTGGAGAATTTCAAAACCTATCAGGCATATTGAGAAACACAGGTGATAGATATGATATGACGTTATGGAACTATAGGATGCCACCTGGTCATATCTTGGATTGTTGCATACTAGAAGGCTTCACCACAGCCTTCAGATGTTGGGCGTCTGCCAGGGGTCTGAAGCTTCACATCGGACTTATCTGACGTGAAGACTCAAAAGGATGTTTGCCTGCCTACTTACCTGAAAATGTCTTCGCAGCAAGCCCAGGGCCCAAGACTTCAGCAAAAGGGCAGAACAATAAGACGGATTATATAAATCAAAACAACATGAAATAACTAAATTTAAGGAGAAGAAGAGGCGAACCATTGAACCGAATGGGGAGGAAGCAAAAGCGTCACGGCCTCGAGCTTGTTTGCGGCCCCCGCCATGTCTAACACCTGCCAAGCTTCGAGTCTCTCTGAGCCGTTTAGCAAGGTCTCCGATTTTTACCGAGGACATGGGATCATAATTTTGGTAAACACTGTTGGGCCTACAAAATCATGCATCATGTCGGTGCACTGCGGTGCCATGAGTGCTGAGGTATACAGTACTTACAAGCATTTCAGAATCTTAGGTATCAGCCATTTCCTCTACATTCGAGCTTCAGGCCTGTGCTGCGTCTTCATTGGGGGGTGAAAGTTCAGGATGAAGCGGTTGGGCTTTGGGGTTTGGGGTTTAGGGATCAGGGTCTGGTAGGATGCCCTGGGCTTGAGGTCAACCTCTCTTTTGTCTCACTGTGGCACAAACTGAGCTATAGTAAGTCCTAGTATCTCCCTGAATAACATCTCTAGTACTCTCCCATGTAATCCCCCTACACAATCCCCTCGAAGGAGTTTAGACTACAGCTCAACTGACCTCGAGGCACCATACATAGTTTGGAGGCGTGCTGGCGAAGCCCCAAAGGCCGCCGCGCCATGAGTTTGTGGGATCGGTCATCAAAACTTCTCAAAGATCCCTAGAACGCCCTCCCCCCACCAAATAGTAAGGAAACCTCTTACTCCCACTAAGACATGTTTGCAATGTAGCATAAACATAAGCTAAGGGAAGAGTCATTTCATGGGGTAGGGTTCTGGGGATATCCATTGGGGACACCCTCCGCGGAATGTGGAACCCTGTCTGGATCGGTAGGTCCGCATTACAAGTTGTTGTTGGAGGCTTCCTTGTTGGTTGGCCACCTGCAAAGCCTACGCCAGTGACCTGACAGCACATGCTTTGCAAGCTTGCACGGACCAAAGCCCAGAACAAGGGCCAGCGGCATGGGCTAAGGAACCACAAGACCCAAAAAACAAGCACAAAGGCTCCAAACCTTGCCGTCTAGATCCCGCCTTCATGATGTCCGCGTCGCCCATCCCATGCTTGCGCCTGATCTTATGACAGGCATATTATACGCTTGGGATTGTTGTGACACGCCTTATTACCTGAAAGACCCCTTCACTCCTCTCAGAGACTTTTCCTGTAGCAAGTTGATAGGCTCCAGCAGGCACACGTCAGATATACCTTACGGCAGCTTCCCAATGTTGCGATTCTACCTCCTGCATGACGACCATTGTGCGGTGCCTCTACATGACCCAAAGTGAGGCAGTCCTTGCTATGAAGACCATCCAGACAATGACCCTAAGCTTGAGAATTTTCTCGGCCCAATATTACCCCTCAAGGAGAGGGTCTCTCTTGCACCGTATACATATTGATGATATGATTCTGAAATATGTTACGTAATTCAAGGGTATTGGGGCTCCTTGGCCCTTTCCCTACACCCCCTCTTCTCCCCCCACACATTTAAACCCTAAACCCTTGAACTCTTTTGACCTTTTGACCTGAACCCTAAATCCTACATCCGCTAAAACACGAAAACCCTAAACCCTCAACCCTAGCAAAGGCGCAGGATGTCAACTTTCTCTTTCATCAGCCGTAGGCTCACAGGGTCGGACTTTTCGTCCCACTCCTCCTGCACCTGTCACAGGGTAAACCATGCGCTCATTAGTTGCTATGATCTACCTCTTCTATTGCATTCACAAAAAGATGGACCGGTCCATGGCATGGGAAACACCAAAGGCAAAATTTGCCCAGAGATGGACACTTCTGAAAGCTAGGGTCTCTTGACATACTCCAAGAACGGCGCAACGCTTATCACAAAAACTGGTACAACCAAACACGATGAAGTCTTATACTTAAACTTCATGCCCTGGTTCGATTAGAGCTAGGGGCGCCTTAACTTGCTGACTCTCTACACTATTTCAGATGGAAGTCTGTACTGTGACGGACCGTCCAGGCTAAGAGCATGAGTGCATCCAACAGGTCTGGTCTCTGAGTACCCCATAGCAAAAAGAAGTCCTNNCCCCCCCCCCCCCCCCCCGCAGCAATCCCTTCCCCACCGCACCAAGTTTCCCCCACCGCCCCCTAAGAATATTGTTTTGGATATAGTGACTCATTTATCTGAATATATAAATGTATATATGAATATGACTATATATATGTATATGTAAGGGACCCGAACCCTAAAATCTTAACAGTGTAGTCTGCATGATGTGCCCACCTCTGTGGCACGGGTCTTCTCGGTGGCCAGCTCCTCATTGCAGCGGAAGTGTTAAAGATGTTAAGGACTCATGTGAGCTGTAGCCTAAACTCC